CCATGTTGCCTTCTTTATGTAATATTCCTTTACCTTGTTTTAGCATTGCAGGCTGAGGTAAAGGGAACAGCTTCCTTTCTCTGGTGCTTAAAACCTGCAAGGGATTTTTCTGCCTCTGTAGCTTATCCCAGTAAATGTCACTTCCTTTTGTTACCAGAATGTGCGTGCTTAGAGCAAGCATTTGCATATGTTATGAAGTTTTGCCACTCTGATATACCTCCCTTGTGTGGATGTAAACACAGTAGTGTAAAGAGACTACAGCTTATTACATTTCAGAAACAGAATACTTCAACTGTGTTGATACAAACTCTGCACTGTGGAGCTTTTGCTGGTATGAACTATAACAATTCACAAGCAAATAAAATAATTCCATTGCCACCCCCAGCTCCTTCATTACACAGTGAAGCCTATTGTAAGGGTAGGCATCAACAGTAGATGTTTCTTTTATTTGAGCTGTATATGAGAGAAGGGGTGAAAAAAAAAAACCCTTTTTCATTTTTCTGAATGCTTGCAAGTGCTTAAGGAGCTTTTAAGTTTATTAAACTTTTTTCCAAGGATCAGGATGTGTTTTGGATAAAAATCACTTGAGTCTGCCAAGCACAGAGCTGTATTTAATTATATGTGAAGTAAGATTTTGGTATTTTTATTAATGGAACATCCACATTTGCTTTGGAATTGTTAATCACCAGAAATGTCAAAGCGTGTCATCATTACGGATGGGAATACATTACTGAGAAGCAGAATTTCCAGGACTGTTTGGAAAATTAGTATATTCTCAGAGTGAAATCTTTTAAGCTGGACTGAATTGGCTTTGTCCACCTTTCTTGCACAGGAGGATGATGGCTATTTTTCATGAGATGCTGCACTCAGTACTCGGAGTTTATTTAACCCTTTAATGTGCCCTATGCAATTATTTTTTTACTTTGTAATGGCACAGAGCATGTGGTCAGGCAAAATTTCTCATGTTTGTAGGTATCTGCTATGCAGGTGCTGTCACGATGCCACCTTGTGTGAACCCAGATGTGGTTGAAAGGGAAACTTTAATGGGTCTCATTTAGAAGAGAAATCCAGCTTCTTTAAGAGCAGGGATGTTGAAGAACTGGAGAAAATGAACAGATGCTGAAATTATTACTGCATGTTACTGGCACAGTGCTCTGAACTGGCCAGACTTCTTGATGTGCTTTTTTTCCCTTCTTCTGAAAGCTCTTGTGGTTTTTTTTGGCTGTGTCATTAATTCTGATGTGAGCAGGGATGAACAAACTTTAGTCAGACTGTAACAGTAAGGAGGAGAGGAGGGGTTTGAGTATTTTACTGTAAGTGGTATGATTTACTAGTAAACAAAGGAAAATCAACTGTGTGACGAAATATAACTGAAATGCAAAAATTACATTAACTCTGACATTTTTCTGGTTTGAAATATTAAAGAATTTTAAATGTGTGGTGTTAGATGGCTTCACTGAGAAGGAAAACGGCTTTTAGTGCATATTATTCACTAGAATATAGCCTTACTTGCAAACTTCTACTTTCTCATTGGGCAGTTGTTTGCATACTTTATTTTGAAATTGTGCAGAGTTGGTTTGGGCTGCGTTCTTACTCGCTTCCTCACTTAAAATACCCAGGTTCAATTTAGCATACGTTTACTTTGTGATGAGATAAATCAGCACTGTTAGTAGTATCAACTCACTTAAAAGTAATGTTGTTCTCTTCTTACTTGCAGGATGCTGGAATATGGTATTTGTTCCACAAGGTTGCTACAGGAGATTCTCATAGTTTAGCCATTGAAACCAAGTCAGAGCTTACACCCCTAGGGATCTTCTATAACAACAGGGTTCATTCTAACTTTAAGGTAATGTATTATCTCATTAAAAAAATTTTTGAAGTTTTTTATTTGTAACTAATCTATACTGGGAGTTGACCAGTTAACATTTTAAGCTGGTTAGGTGATGGAGTTATGCTGTGTTTGAACTGCATGATTCTATCTCGGTATTGTAGAACTATGTATAATCAGCGTGTGTTTAGTTTCTTGCCGCAATTCGAGTGTTCACTGTGTTTAATATCTTCGTAAGGCACAACCAATTAAAATCGATTAATACTGATAATGAAACACACTTTCTCAGGATTAGCATTTCAAATGCTACTCTCTTACTGATGGCCTTGTTTTCTACTCTCAAGAAAGCTGACCCTTGAAGCATCGAAGTTTATTACAGTTGTGATTCACCTAATAGCTTCCTGGAGTAGCTACGACTTGTTTTCCTGAGTCTGTAATATACAGTAGTTCAGGTGTTTGCATGTGGTGGCACAGTCTCTGACTAGAGATTAAGTTTCCAGGTTGCCCTCAGGAGCCCAGCCATTGGCAACAGTTTTTTGTTAGAGGGTTCTCAGCCTAGGGACAGGCATTCATTATTGGTTTGTTAATGTGACTATCTTTTCCTCGTTCAGCTAGGTGAAGTCCTTAGATTCCAAATACAGTAATTAATTTAACTGCTCTGTATGTGTGTATATATATAAAAATTATATTTTA